GCGTAAAGTATGATGTCTTTTTTTTGTAACCTTATGCCATCAAATTTTTTGATAATGGACGCAAAACCCTAGCATTAATATCTAAACTTTAACAATGTACATTTGATATTTTACAAAAGTATGCATATGTTAGAGTTAAATTATTCGATTCATTGATTCCTCATAGGCCAAATGGTCTTTGCTCTTGCAACAATAAGATCTCCTCTACATTGTCATTTTATAAAATAATTTGATCAATGAAGTTTCACTTGATTTTGTTCGCTTATTTCTACATAAAATATGTGAAAGATGTCACCTAACTATTTGAATTTAAACAAAACCAACCAGATTTTGCGAATTAAGATTTTTTTTTTTTTAAGTTATGATTATTTGTCTCTTTTTTAAGTGGAGCGCATGGTTTTTCCTCTTTTTATCCCTAATTGTTTGGGTTGGATTTCAGATATTCCATACGAAATTGTAGTTGTTTTACATAAAACTTTGGAGTGTCTAATGTGAATAGTCATAGAACTCCAAATAGAAGTTTTGTATATTCTTGGAGGATGATAGACGCGGCTGCCTAAGTTACACTCTCTAGTGAAACAACCACAATGATCATTTGGACATGCATATAGCACCCATGTATGGGTAATAATCACGAGGAAGATTTTTGGTAGTTCCTTTTGAAAATTCTCAGACGCCTAAGTTAGTCAACCATTGGAGGGTATATATATATATATTATTTTTAGAAGTTATTGTAGATTATGTTTGGGACCATGTATGAAGATCATCATGATGTCTCTCCAATATCGTGAAGTAGATGAGAAGAGAAGAAGGGTAGAGTTTATATGGAGAGTAGGGTTTGACTTCCCTTCCTAAGTATTGCTTTGAATGACAAACTTCTTTCGACTAAAGCTAGATATATAAGTTACTCTCCGCCGTTGCCGAATAAACATGAATTTCCCTTGTCTTAGTCTTCACCTCCATCACTTCTAAATTCAAAGAAAATGACGATTGCAATTGACCAAGGTTCATTCTCACCTTCTGTTCAAGGTCTCCATTTAGGAGAAATAAAAGA